AGGGAAACTATTAAAAATGGAAGAAAGGGAAGCAGAATCCAATAATTAAGTAGCAAGTTTTGCTTAGGAAAGAACCAAAATTTCCTAAAAGGTTCGGAACAAATATTAACGTGATTTGAATAAAAAGCCAATGTTCAAAAAATATAACTAAGTACTCACAGCAGTGAGTGACAGAGAGCGCATTTTCTCGTCAACGAAAACTTGAGGTCACGGACGGACGGACATACGGACGGACAGACAGACAGACAGACGGACATGGCAAGCACAATAGTGCATTTTCCATAAATGAGAAGATGCGCTAAAAAGACTAAGCCCAATTATAACACTGGAGTCGGCCCTTTCCTAAATAATCAATGAAAGGTCGAGCATGCATTTTCAACTAAAATAAATCTAACGAAACACAAAGAGGGATAACTCAAACTTAAATACAGAAATTAGAAAAAACTTAAATACAGAAATTAGAAAGGCATGACTTCATATACTCCTGTCAGAGCAAAAACTAAATGGATGTTTTCATCACCAAGTTTTTTCAGCCAACCTCTATCGATATGTATGGAGAAAAATAACTCCAATATTTTACTATAAAAGAAATGAGGAAATTTCCAGCATTTTATGAAGTGAGCATAACAACTGAATGAATATCATTTTAACTAATCCACAAACAAATCGGCTACTGCATTCTAGAAAATGCAGGTATATGTTTGAAAATCTTATGATCGGATAACAAATGTGATGCTTTTAAGGTAAAATTAAAAAAACTTTCAGAATAAATTTTCATACATTGCGCAATTTACTCCATTTTCGCAAAAAATATTCTGGCTGTGAAACTATTTGGTAATTTTTTTATTAAATTGGCCCTTCCTTGAATATTTGTTCTCGATATCTATACTTCAGTACAGTCAGTGGGTTGCTGTCAGGTTTAGTTCTGGAAGCCGTAGCTTTCCCTCTTCCTGCGCCGGCCAACAGACGTCAGCTCCAATTAGTTAACCACAACATAGTCAGAACAAATAAAACCTGGATGGAACCATAAATAAAAAGTAAACCCCAGAAGTTTACCCCAAGTATAGTTTTTTCTTTTTTTTGGAATGCTATTTATAACCCTCTACCATAATTACAATCGAGTGAGTAATATGGTGAGCCTTGTGAATTTATTATGCTTTTATGGCTTTGATAGGGTCCTCAAATTTGTAGGAAATGTCTTTAATTTCATAAATTGATCACATTTCATATTAATTTGCTAAAATCGCAGTTTTTGGTACAAGACGATCGTCGAATAATTAATAATATTAGTAGTAATGTGATCGTAAGATTTCTGCGAATCGAAACCAGTTCTGAACTGTTTAGACCGTGCGTAAAAAAATGGGTTTAAATAATTATATAGTTTTTTGTTTGAAATCGATTGCAAAAATTTTATTTTATTACCGCTTGGTGGCTATAGATCTTAAGGTGGGTCCGAGGCTGTTGATATAGTGACATAGTGCGTCTTACATTTAGACTCAAAGAGCTTATAATTTTGATTACTATTCATTTTACAGCTATTTATTCTTTTTATTCGATTTTTTTGGCGGACTTTAAGCGACACATTTTACAATTCAAAGCGCTTTCTGTTTGTTCATGGTGTGTGAAACTTTGCTTCTGTGAGTGAATTTATTGAATCGTTTTTCGACATTGGAATATTATTACTGTATTGAGGAATTGCAAAATTTAAACGTTATTTCTAGTGTCTACAGTTATGCTGGGCCGGGTTTATTCGTCGGTATAACGTTTGTATTAGAATCGCTATACCAAGCTTTATTTTTTGGAACTTGGTTCCTTGCTTAAGTTTCGGTGAATCCTAATATTTTTCGAGCTTATGGATTTTCTTCTTAGAATCAATGTCTAAATAAAAGTTAATTTGTTTACCGTTTTTGTATTGAGCCAAACAAAAAATATTTTTCGTTGTCTCCCGTTATAACTGCGATACGATTTCAGCGTCGTTGGACAACCGATCTCACTTCGCGAGCAACTAGTTATAATGCATAGGTAGTCGTATATACATATAAAGATCACCACAGTTATTACCGCCCTTTAGAAATGCTACTCTGTAATATATGCCAGGCATGATAACGAAACCACCTATCGTAAGAAGAGTGAGTTATTGAATATGAAGCAAGATAACATTCGTATGAGTGTTACTCATTCATCGAGATTAGGTGATTTCATATGAGTACCTAACGAGTTATAATAATAATAGCAGGTTCAATAATGAACACAAATAAAGAATATACATAGAATTTTTCCTCGTAGAAAAAATAAACGTTGTTTGGAAAATTGCGCAAATTACACACAAATTATCTTTGACTGTTAGTAAGATTTGTGTGCATTTTGTTAAGAAGAGGCTGGTTTATGAGCTTTATTGACTGCTTATATACGAGACTCGTATAGCTCAAGCTCCGCTGTTCATTTTTGCTCAATTGAGTATATTTATAATCTGCATGTTACGATAGTTATACATAATAAAATATCTTGTTCGTTCCTCAAGCCTCACTCGACATTGAGATATTTTTGCTTGATCATTGCTCATCGTGAAAAGGCATCGTAAAATTCTTCATTGTTTACAAAAAATCTCTACAATTATACCTTCAATTCCCCATTTCTTTTAAGCCGTCGAGCATTGCTCATTGTGAAGACTTGTGTCAGAATATCCTTTACTGTTTGTAAAAATCTGTACAATAAATATACCCTCAATTCCCCAGTAGACACTATTCTCGCAGTGCTGTCTAGCATTGCTCATTGTGAAGACGTGTCAGAATATTCTTTACTGTTTGTAAAAATCTCTACAATATACCCTCAATTCCCCAGTAGACACTATTCTCGTAGTGCTGTCTAGCATTGCTCATTGTGAAGACGTGTCAGAATATTCTTTACTGTGTTCTGGCCAAATGCAGCGTCCGAGCTTTTGTACGGCGCCTGAACATTCGTACAATAGGATGACAAGATTAGCCGCTGGCTTAGTAACTGAGATGTAGAGAGAGCTTTGTTGGAGCCGACACCACACGCAATCAATATCGTAGTCCGTATTTGTTAGACAAACAATACGACCCGCTGCACGGGTGCTTCCTGTCCTAAATCTCGTCTTGTAGCCTCCACCTGGGTACTTAAAACTTGCTATGGTAATGGGGAGTTATCGGGATATTGTAAATTCAGTTTGCGACCACCCTACGATGTAATAGTAATTAGTCTACTGGTTCATGCATATGTAGATATTTCAAAAACGCTGATTTGCATTTATTTTATGATCATCGCAAACATTTTCGAATGCAGCCAAATTTGAAAAAGGAAAAATTACCTGGCTGCAATTAAGTAGTATATATATATACGATTTACATAACTAACGCGCACGCATTAGGTTGCTCGAAAATGTATGAAGTTAATTGCTCGGAAAATGTTCCCGACTGTACATATGATGTCAATATGTAAAACTTTTTGAAACTTAATACTTAAGTAGGAATAGTGATAAATGTGTTCAAACTTGCAATTTTTCGCCCCTTTTTTACAATGAAACTTAACAATATTGTGACTAAAGCACGTAAAGTTAAGCCTTCGTTGAGTGGAATATTCGTAACCGCTTCTTAGGAATTGGTTAACTTGCGCCACTTCAAGGACAGTTCCTTAACATAGTGATGTCGGCGCTGAAGTGTAGGCCTGATGTGGCCTGTTGCCTTGAAGGCTCAACCTCCGATGTTTCACGTAAATAGCTTGACTTGAACAATTTAAAGAGCAGGCCTAGGAAAAGAACAGAAATGTACAAGCCGTGATGCTTAAAATCACGAGGGTAACTTCGGTCATTTCAAATGAAGGCTCGGTTAACAGGCACAAAAAGGCACATGCCGTGATGCTCAAAATCACGCGGTTAACTTCAGTCATTTCATATGAAGGCTCGGTTAGAAGGCACAAAAAGGCACATGCCGCGATGCATTCACAAGTCCCGGGGTGCCGGCAACGAGGGTGAAATGATGGACTGAAGAGACCCGAGGGACCGTTGATGTTTTTATTGAATGTTCAACAAAGAAGACTGCTCATTGCTACGCTGCTATAGGACAGCCCCGACGTGGGGGAGGAGGGGAAAGCGCGAGAGAGGGGAGGAAATTGGGGAAGGATCACGACGGAGGAAATTGGGGAACGATTTATTTTTCACGTGGTGATAAAGAATCATTTATCACGTAGTGATAAAAATGAAAAAAGCAAAAAAAGAATCGGTTAGAAAAGGAGTGAAAGAAATAGTTGAAATTGAAAGAGAAATTATTTTCACTAATAGAGAAATGGTAAGCATCAATTAGTTTGCAAATTATCAACTATTTTGTTGATTTTCGTTACTTCAACATCGTCACTTAAAGATGTTACCTTTATCATGAAGTCGACGTAGAAAGGTAATTTGTAGCAATAAAGCTCAGTAAACGGAACCAATAGCCACGCGAAACTGAAATATAAATTTTTAGGGGGAGATTGTAATTCTTTCGCATGTTCTATTATTACTGCAACATGTGACTGCATATTTTCCTTATGAAATAATAAAATTAAAGTAAAATATATAGAGAGGCCCCGGAATATAAAGTGAATGGACTAATGGAAATAATGACGAACAACCGTCGCAAGATCTGCAACAGATTACATTTACAGTTGGTTTGAGCTCCAAGCAAAAATAATACAATTATAAATTACGAACGGTACTTGGATAAGATTTTCGGCAGAGCAAGTATCATGGTCTCTCGCTTACAAATAATTCCATTCCTTCATGCGGTTATTACTACGGAGTCAAATAGCAAGAACGATGGTCTCGATCGACTCACGACCACACAGTCTGAGACTTCATACTATAATATATAGGGTTGGCAGACGGTCTTGACGGACAAATTCCGCGATTTAGTTTTTTTTAATTGCATTGGACTGCTAAAATTTATGATAGAATACTTTCTAATTAAATTTTAAAAACTGCGAAAAAATAAATTTTCACACCGAAATATACAAATATACTAGTATATATTGAGTTATAGGCGTTTTTTAGCTTTTCTTGTTCGCGGACTTGGTCGTTTTTTAGGCCATCTGGCAACCCTGCAGTTCGTACGTCGTCATTTCGAATCTTGTTGAATTTCGTACCTCGTTTCTTCATTTAAAATCTTTTATTTCTACCCCGACCCTCCTCGGTGAGCATTATGAGCTCGACATGTCTTTTATAGTTTCTAGCTGCTCCTAAATTACATTGTTCACAGTTTGTCTCACGACCCACGATCACCATTTAGTCATATCATGCTTTAGAATTATCATTGTCCATTAACAGAATCCCAACATCATTAAACTTGATACTGTATCGAATCATCTCATCTACCAATATCATCCAAATAAACTCAAAGTTTTCTTTACAGCAAGTTTAGATTACAAAACATGATTAGTTTCACCACCTAATATTCTCTCTAAACATGATAATGAAATAAAATACTTCATGTTATAGGCACTTCGGTGACAAATTCTTTCATCACCGTCACTATACTCGTGATGACAGGTCTCTGGTACACCGCCATCTTCATGTATTCTGAGTCGTTGCGGATGAAGACGTAGTCACCAGCGGTTGGGACGAACGTGTAGCCGCGCTTCTCGAACCTCAGGACAGAATGAATTATTTACCTATCAGCTTTAATAAATTACATATATTAATTAATACTAGTAGTATCTGATAATATTCATCCCGCTGGCTGGTAGATGAAAATGTAATAATTACTTGTTCGTTCCAAAATTTCACACGTCACTGAGACCATCGGTGGCCAAACAGTTTCTGTTCAAAAATACGACTGTAATCCTGAAAACAACTAGAAGAAAATGTAGAGCAATTTCAGAAATATGTAGAACTTTCGTAGGTATATACTGGTGTTGGTAGTCATAAAAATAGTTTCTTTAAATAAAGTTTTATGGAAGACCTCTGAGTAACCCATATTACGATTTTATAGAAGCTTTTCTTAATTTTGTGAATTAAACTTTTAGCTTCATTTAAAAATTAAAAAATAGATTTTGAAGACACACACTGTCAGATAGCGCGATTTTTAAAATAAAAATTATACATTTCATCATTGAATGAAGTTCGGACAACAGTTGAAATAAAAATTTCGGAATTATAAAGGTAGGTGGAGAGATGACTGCAAAAGCAATCAAAAGTACAGCAACAGCACTTCGAGTTTCTGAAAATAATAATTCTTAATCATTACAAACTTTGTGAAATACACTTCTGTACGCAAAAAATTTGCATCAAAGACACGGGTGCCAAAGTAAAGCGAAGGCCAATGATGATGAGTTCAGGAGGCCGCGTCCTGAAATGTTCCGCGTCGAATGAACACTTCATTTCAATTTCAAAATTAATGTCGACAGAAATGTGCATAACTACCTGAAGGTTCTGTTATGAATTATACGGAAAAGCTATTTTAGATATTACAAACTCAGGGCTTAAAACCATGGTAAACTCACTTAGATACAAAGACTAGGTCCTCTCCGGGCCCCATTTCATAGATGCTGGTGTTGGGGTAGCGGTGTTCGATGTACCACAAGTCCACTGTGATGCGGTCGAACGGGAAGTTGTCTAGGATCTCGTCTTCAACATCTGCAACATTTGTTATAATAAATAGTTTCTTAGACTGCACTTGCAACAGATATACTACAGGAAAGATTTTCAACTCATGCAACTGATAAAAACCGAGAAAATTGAAATGGAAATAAATAGTTTGTATATTAGTTTCATTACACATTATCTCAAGGCAAAAAATATAGCAATGCCACATTAGAGATGAAATTGTGTCTATGTTAATAACCCACAAATAATATATTTTCATGGAGCACACGAAGTTTATAAAATAACATTTTCTTTCAACGTAAACATAAAAAATTAATTTTTAGTGTTAATAGAAATATGTAAATGATAATTATAATCTGATGGCATATGAGCTTTGTACTGAATTATTTTAATATCTAAATAATTTAGATGTCAAATAAAATAAAGATAATGATCAGCTGTTAACCTTCAACATCGAGAGAGAAGTAGTCTATTTTGGTGTAGTTGAGGGCCAGCAGCAACGACGCCAGAGGGAAGCACTGCACGCTCTCGTACGACGCGTCATGTTGCTGACAGATGAATTACAGATAAACAATATCGATTAATTTAATAAATTTATCCACTATGTTTATGGAAAGTCAATACATAATGTAATATTCTTATGAATGCTTCGTAAGGCACGTACATGTAAGCGTTCCTCAGAAGTCCTTGACTGCAGCAGAGCGCTCTGTCCTTTTACGAACAGATCCCAGCCCGGGGTTTCGTACTCAATGGCCACGTTGGCCGACATCGAGGGGATAATGTTACCTAGAATTGCCTGCAAAACGGTTGGTCCATAAATTAAAGTCAAAAATTATAAAATAGATTTTAAGGAGAGCGTCTACCCTAAAATTTTGGTTTTTGGCTTTTCCGGTTTTTAGTCTCATCTTTAAGCTGACATTCTGACCTATCCAACGGTACCAAAACCATCTCTGTACGTTGATTTATGCGTTCACGACAGATCATGAAAGGGAGGGGGTGGGGGAGTTCTTTAACAAATAGAATGGGAGGAAATTCGCAGCGAGCACTTTAAATAGTGTGTCTGCTTGAGGTGCACCTTAGTTACCCGCCTTGCGTCATATGAGGAGGTGTGCATGCAGTCGTTCCCACCATCCTTGACTGGAATCAAGCTCCAGCAACGTTTAGTTTTGTATCCTTGCTACATTGAGTGCCTATTCCGATGCGCGCGGGACTTTGACGGGCTCTACTGAGAAGTTAACTTATTGTCACTGCAAACCTATCTCCTCCTACATTTTTTAAAGCTACAACAATGAGACATAAACCGTTCGATTTGCAAAAAAAAGATATACAATTCATAGTACGCGTTTTTCCAATTTCGTCATGGTTTGGATTTTATTCCGCAAAAAGGAGCGTGGCGGAGGGTAAAATCGAAAAATTTCCGAAAAATTTACGAAAAATGCCCCCACACCAACAAAATTGAGAATGTCAAAAAACGCGTACTATGAATTATAGATATGGTCTTTTCGCATCGAATGATATGTATCTCGATGTTATAACTTCAAAATCCTGCGAGGACATAGATTTCTACGGTACCCCCTTTTTTGCCGTTTTCTAAGAATTTCACGTTTTCTTTCATTTTTTTTCGAAAAATTCACATGAACAAAAAGTCTTAGAATTCTGTTTTACATATACGTACCAAGTTTCAAAGTAATCTGTCTGTAAATAACCAAGATAAAATTTGGGGTGGACGCTCCCGGCCCTTAAGTGAACAACAGTACATGCCCGAAAAAAAACTCTCTTATTTGAAATTCTCTACGAATAATAGGAACTGGTTAATAATATTGGTCTTTGAAGAATGTATTAAATGGAGGAAACTTAGCATCATAGTAATAATTGGAATAGTATATAAGAAGAAAAAAATTCTGTTGCAGGTCTATAATCGAAAGTTTTAATAACCCGCAAGCATAAAATTAAAAGTAGCGAAATCACCTAACAGTTTGAAAATAAATTCCCGTAGCTTTCTCTCTTTCTTTCCGCTATCCATGGTACATTTAATACTGACCGAACATTTGCAAAAAAGATATTTCCCATCAAAATGCTCTGCAACGCAAAAATTTTTATTGGAAGAAGCCTGATCAGCTATAATATTATGCTTCGCTATTTCCAAATCAATCATGCCACACGAAGTCGTACGATGACAATGAGAGCTTGCGAATATAAGCGGGTCCGTGATAACCATTCAAGTACATGTTGTCTTTAATTCCGACGTATTGTCTTCTTGTGCTTACTCTTCGTACAAACTTCTATGTGTGAAGCTACGTATGTGAAGCTACGTTTGAATTATGACTCACGGTGTGAGGATACAGATTAAACTTCGCTCTCAGTATGAGGCTACGTATGAGTTATGACTCACGGTGTGAGGATACAGATTAAGCTTCGCACTCAGTGTGAGGCTACTTTTGAGTTATGACTCACAGCGTGAGGATAAAGATTAAACAGCGCAATCAGTGTGAGGCTACGCATGAGTTATGACTCACGGTGTGAGGATAAAGATCAAGCTTGACTTCCAATTAAAGTGACAAACATTAATGACTCACGGTGTGAGGATAAAGATTAAACTTAGTTAGCTCTATCTGTGAGGTTGCTACTAAGTTATGACTCACGGTATGAGGGTAAGGATGCACTGCCAGGCATGAGTGAGACACCCACGCTTTCCTGTTCTTCAGAAGGATGCTCTTGTAGTTCATGTAGCTTGCTTCGACCAGCAAACCCGTCCAGTTCTGATTTTTCTGAGGATAATTTATTCATTTTTATCAGATCAATCAAATGTTTCTAGCTACATGTGGAATAAATATGTAAAATTGATATATGATATTGCTTCAGAAATCCTAATAAAATATCAACAATCTAAATAAGAATATTCGCAACTTGCATGTAAAAATAATTTATTTTGATGTTTCGTTTCTCATTATTAGGATTTTCAGTGAACTTTTCGAATGGTTAGATAAAATGAAGAAAACTAATTTGTTTGATTTTTATCGTCCGTGTTTAATTAAACTATCTAAGCATAGACGCCATCTGCATCAGTGCCAGGTTAAAAATATATTTATTGCTTCATCTATGCTCTAAATAGTGATTTTCTAAGCCTAACAGTTAACTTAGTTATCAGATCAGGTATAAAAATTTTTAGGTAAATGTAAAATATATTATTTGTATAATCGAGATAATCGATTATACAAATAATATATTTGTATAATCGATTATCTCGATTATACAAATAATATATTTGTAAATATAAATGTAAAATATATTATTTGTATAATCGAGATAATCGAGTTTGACGGCAGATAGGTCTTGGGTCGAGCATTAGGTTTATATTCGAAATTTTAGTCTTGCACTCGTACTTTAGATTGACTATACGTATGACACAAGGCTAAAGGGATTTGTTGAAATTTGGTAGTCCATTGCAAAGAGACAATAAAGTGTAGGAGATTGTCTTTCGAACTAGACAGAAACAATTTGTTTACGGATAGATTGTTCCTAAAAATTTGAAAATGTCAGCTTGTTATGCAGCCGTATAAATTTCCTGTATCAAAGAGCTCAACTCAACCATGTAGTTAACTCACTTCGAGCTCGAGGGAGTTGGAGAGATACTGACCATCCAAAGCTCCCGCCTCCACGAATATTCCATTGGTTTTGTTATGGAGGTAATGGCGAACCACCTTCATGGCTTCCACGTACATGCCCAAGCTGAGGAACACCAAATTTTTCAACTATCGTTTGTACAAACCTTCTTTCTAATTGTATCTAGTACCTCAGAATGTCTCATGTAAATAAAAACTTAAGATTGACCTTCTTCTTTCTTCTTAGTTTCATTTTTCATGTTACTCAGTGCATATGTGACGTTGAATGAACAATTTATTCCTTCACTTTACTCACTTTCCAACTTTGAGCATCCTTCTCTCATATATCAATAAACAATCAAAAAGATCGATAGAATTATTAGAATGGAACATATTTGAAACATCATCCTACGTTTCATAATCCTTGTATTCGGTATCGTTTTTGAGATTGTATGGCAACGAGGAAGGAGGATCCATGTACCTGGAAGAACAAATTGAATGAAATGAATTAAATATAATTATTTGGAAGAATCGTTCGTTAAAACAATGATGCCACTATTAATTAATACGATTGATATAGCATTCGCTAATTGCTTCACTAGTTAGCATTCACCTCACACACATATGATTGTGTGCAGAAAATCCTGCTAATTATTCAACTTTGCAAATTCGTAACGTAAAAAATATTCTCACACGACTTCATTTGGAATTTCAAGCGGAAAAATTTCGCAATTGATTTAATTCGCTTAAGTAAAACATCGGGACATGAAACGTTACTTTACTTGGATTTGATGAGGTCGAGGAGCGCGGGGTCGTCGTAGTGCACAGGACCCTTAAGGCGAGCCTGGAACTCAGCGTCGGCCTTCACCTCATCAACTTCGAGGAAATATTTCTTCTGAAATTATATTTTACAGTATTTTGAGGATAAGCATAACAGAAAAGAAATAATTTGACCTAAAATTTGCCATGAATTACGAAGGTAATTTTAACTAAAAGGTAATCATATTTCATTCATTATTGCGAAAAAACCACGTTAGTTGCGGTTTCTACAGTAAATTATTGAAGTTCTTTAATTTTAGAAATCTAGAAAGAATTTTCCAGGGTATGAGCACAATTATCGTCGTCCGAATGTAAATATTTATTATTGAATAATTTGTAGGTTATAGCAGAAAAATGATCAACATTGAGCCAAACAAAATAATTATGGCATGTCGTTCGGCAGCCAACGCCGGGTAATTGAATCTCAGTTTCTTCAATCTTTATTATTGAATAACTCTTTGCTCTGGCATCTCAGCATATTGCTTTAAAGTATATGCATCATAACATGAAATTTGGGCTTGGAGATCTTAAAACTGACGCTGGATGATTATTTTATAAGGAAATTTGATTATAAAATGAATGCTCTAAGAACCAAGAAAGTCTCTCTGAACTCAAAATATTTGTAGGGGCATGAAGGACAGAATATACAAACACTGAACTATTTGAACTTAGTTTTTTCTAAGGCGCACTTACCCCAGCAGGCTGCAATAGTAGGAACACTCCAGACCAGCAGCTGAACAGGAGCAGCGCCAAGGGGACGAGTCTCTTGGATCCAGTCGACCGCATCTGGATTTCCTTCGGTCCATGAGAAATTTCCCATTATACGAACAATTCCTCCACGAAAGAAAAATTATTTTTAATAAGATTTTAATTTTCTGTGCTTGCATCCGTCTTCTCTAAAAAGGTAAAATTGCAAAGAATCGACAGAGATATGCTCATCTTAAGTTTCATTACAAAACTGAAGCAGAGAATGAACTGTAGAAATTAATGAGAAACAATATTAGATTTTTTACAAGTCGAACAAAAATAAATGTGTTACAGAATAATATTGCATACTTTAGTTGCCGTGAACTCAATGTCTGAAGAGCGAAGGACGTTCAGACTTCGGTGAACTCAATGTTCAAGGATGCTGGCGAAGATATTCTATACCTTTTTGGCAAATAAAATTACTAACCTGATTTCGGAGACCAATGCTTGATCGATGGGAAAATTTTTAACACATCATGTTCACCGAAACCATAAGCATGTGTATGCTTTGTATTAAATATGCCTGTAAGAGAATAATTTGATACTGATTTTCCGTCCGGACCTAGGCAACGATATTAAACACTTCTTTACAGGTCAAGAAAATATGTTATATAACAAAACTTATATTCGCGCAAGCGATATGAATGAGCTCAGTTCAGTCTCGGTCGGTCATATCAGCAGGAAAGCTTACGAATAAATGAGCAAATGGACTGCTCTAGGTGTTTTTACCTGAATGTTTGCTCCAGCCACCAGGATGTTTCTCCACTAAATTGAACCAGATTGATCCGACCAGATTTTTTGTCAGTTTGGGATTTAGCCCATCCAGGTTCCTCCTAACTTTTGAAAGCCTCTGTCATTCTTTTAGCTGATGATCAAAACACATATTGGATGTAAAATATTTTATTTGTATAATTTGCAACGGCTTTGCGTTTGCTTTCCGTCATTGTAAATTTTACTTGAACCAAGTACATTGATATGCTACTCCGAATTACTTTCATGACAGGCAAAAAAATACATAATAGATTGTCATTGTTAAATTCTGATTTATTAATATGTTTTTTAGATTTGGGTGAATGCGTTCTTTTTCGGTACGCATTTTTTACAAAAACTAAATATTTCAAAGTACAAATTCCAAAATATCGTTCACGTGTTTAAAAGCGTTCAAGTGTTGAGTCTGCATAAAAATTGGGCCCTCAAGCATTCCATTTGACGTCAAACTATGATTTTTGTTTAGAGAAACGAAATTCCACTTCATGTTTTGTCCGGCATGTGCTATAGGCATAAATGCCCATAGCAGAACACACTTTTTCAGGAAGAAATATTATTCGGGATAAATGTGAGTAAAAACTGTGTGCGAGGACGGGACAGGTTTGATTTAACTAATTGACTTGCAACAGATACAATCATAAATAAGTGCTATTATATATTTCCTGTTAACAAATTTATTTATTATATAGTTTACATTAAATTTAAATTTATTATATATTTAACAAACAAATCTTGGGGTCATTGAGTTAATTATTGTACACAGTTATTTTCGTTTTCGCAGTATATCGGGGAGCCAGCGGGCACCATTGAACAATAGAAAAAAATTTCAAATGTAAAATTTTTAAATTAATCATTGCTGGCTGGACCTGACCTCATCCAGTGGCACCATAAAATCCGATTCAACTTGCAAGGTTTCTATTTTATTCTGATTTTTTTTTTGTTTGAAGAATGGCATTGTAAATAAATAGCGACTAAAATATATATTAGAGTTTGTATTTTCAATTCCGCAATGTTATCAGGATTTTAAATTTATGAGGAGTCTTATTACAGGACTTCCATTAAGATTTTGAAATTTCTTATTTCCAAATCAATAAAATTAAAGGATGAAAATTGAAAACGTAAAATTTTCTTCTTCATTTCGTGAAACGGGGATTAGTACGGTTGAATGTCGATTGAAATTTTGGAAAATCTTATTTTATTTGATAAAAATTATTTTAATCAATGTGATGACGCGACCTGCAGCTATTTCGAAATTGAGGCCAAAAAATTCTCAGCGTAAACTTATGAACAGCGACGTATGGATGAGCGTTGTTGAAGGCCAAATGAACAGGGTGTTCTTCTTTTGAATTGAACGAACTTTTATGAACGACGAATATGTTTAACCTGATTTCAAGAAATCACTGAACAAGCCATGCAATACCTCATAATGGAATAACTATAGCAGGGATAGTTTAACACAACTATTGGGAAGTCGAAAAGATATTTGCTAACTTCATTTATCTTTTTGTGTGTTGGCATTCATCGCTTCCTCCGCAGCTTTACCGCCGCTGCCGTTCTCTATCGCGTTGAGCTGGAGCTCGTATTAGCAGCCGTCAATGACTGATTTATAGAGCATTAATGACGTATTTTAGATAATCCCACAAAAATTGTCAGATGTTGGGTCCAATAATTTCGTGTCCTTGATATAGCTTCACGATTGCTCCAAAACGCACTTCTCGCAGGCAAGTTGGACGTGGAAGCTTCACTTTTAATCGCGCGGTACACTATTTCTTTGCCTCCGCAGTTAGCTCGGGAAATAGATTTTGCAGATGGGGCTTTATAATTACTTAAGATTAATATTAAGCTTATAATGACTTAAGATTAACATTGAACTTATAGTGAATTGAGATTAAGATTAACATTAACCTTGTAATGACATAAGACTTTAGATTAACATTAAGCTTTTAATGACTTAAGAATCAAGATTAACATCAAGTTTATATAATGACGTATGATTAACATTAAGCTTATAGTGACCTAAGATTTAAGATTAACATTAGGCTTATAATCACTAAAGACTTAAGATTAATATTAAGCTTATAAACACTTAAGACTTAAGATTAACATTAAGCTTATAGTGACTTAAGACTTAAGATTAACATTAAACCTATAATGACTTAAGATTAACATTAACATTAAGCTTATAATTGCAAAGATAAAATACATACAGGGTGGAGCGCGGTAATTTGCTTATTTGCACTGCATGCTGTGGTGGCACGTACTGACGGTCGAAGACAGAGGAGAGTGGTCGTGGCTTACAGTGGATGGCGGGAAATTTATATCCGTCTGGCTCTCAGTTGCCATCTTGCAGTGGACACGTTAGGAGAGGTCATTTTGTGTAGAAGCGTATTTTTTCAAATGCCCACTCGATCATTGCAGTGCAGCGTGCTTTTCGTTCACGATTCGCTGTTCCTTCACGCGGACGTGTTCCTGGACGGCAATCAATTGTAAATTGGGTGAATGCATTCTGAACAGCAGGGAATGTGTCATGTCTACGAAGGGGACCTGAGAGAGGGATTACAACACCACAAAACATCGAGAGAGTTAGAGCAGCAGGACTGCAATCTCCGAAACGCTCTGCTCGGAAGCAATCATTTGCTCTTGGCATTATTTGTCTATGATGCAGGATTATTTTCAGCCAGCTCATGAGGCAATGTAATTAGAGGATACATGGTTCCAACAGGATGGTGCCACTGCACATACAGCAAGGGTTACCATGAATTGTTTGAGGCAAATGTTTCCTGGACGGCTTATCTCTTTGAGGGGTGATGTGACCTGGCCAGCACGCTCACCAGATTTAGCCCCATGCGATTTTTTTCTTTGGGGTTACCATAAGTCTAAGGTGTATATCAACCGCCCCAACGCCTTGGAAGACCTAAGGAACAATATTGAAGCTGAAATTGGCAGAATACCAGTGAGCATGCTTGTTAGAGTTCATGAAAACTTGAGAAAACGTATACAGTAGTGTGTGGAATGCGAAGGTCGACATTTGCCAGATACACTATTTAAAACTATGTAATTTATAAATTCCATTACCGTTCAGCATAATTCAAATATTAAATAAATTTTTCTAGTGATCATAATTTCTTTATTTCATTCCCAAATCAGCAAATTACCGCGCGCCACCCTGTATATTAAATTGACTGCCAAGTGTCATGGTTAGCCCTATTTTCGTCGTTGGTAATTCATACGAACAAAGGGAGACTTTTCAGTCAGTAGCGAGGGAGCATTGGAATAGTTTACATGATTTTCAACAGACTTTCCTCTTCTCAAGTTTGGGTGGAGGTAATAAAAAATTATAGACGGTTTAGCCTGTATTTTAATGATGTGTTGGCAGCAGCGCATGGCCGGTTTGAAACTATTTTCTGTTAATCAGAAATGTCAGATGTTCATGTTGATTAAAATGTTAGTTGATTTTAGTTCGAAATGTTTGCATGTTGTTAGTTCATAGTGAGTGTTATTATTAATCAAAAATATTAGTTGTTCTTTGTCCGAAATATCATAGTTCATAGTCCAGAATTTTAGATGTTTTTAGGACAAAAATTCCGTTTTTGTTTGTCCGCGATGCTAGTTGTAATCCAAAATATTAATTATTCATAGTCTGAAATGTTGGTTGTTAACTAGAAACGTTACTTGATGTACAACTGAGAATCTGACTATTAATTCAGTGAATAACTTTCAGATAGCATCACAAATACACAGCCAAATTTTGACAATGTTATTTCTCGCCACAAAAGGTACTCTGAATTTGCGCTCTAGGATACCAAGAATATATCAAGCGATAGGCATCAAACGCACAAAATTAGTCACATATAAACGTTCTAAAACATTCTTGCCTCACTACAGCGCAAGTTTATTGAATATGGTCCTGTAATATTTTTGCGTATGCTAGAGCTGCGAATAAAACTTTTAATTGGTAAACGAAAAGTGTCACTCTAGCTGACTTACATGCAGCGCACTCGTTCTAGTCTGCTCTGATAGAGCAGACCATTGCAAAAAAACGATGTTCCAGCCATCAGGTTGAAGATAGGATTCCAAATAGTGTGTATTTTTTTAAAGCCAGTCACCTGCTTACTCATAAAATTGCAATCTATCTACTCAGGCTTTTTGCCGGCCATTTGGCCATTTTTTGCCGGCTTAATTTAATTGAGCCGACCATGCAATTATCAACCCTCTGACAACTGAAGGTCATATAACTGATATAAGCAACATTTATACCAAGGTCATCATCGGCAATAATTGAGGATGCTTGAAACATGGAAATTTTCGTCGTATATTAAACATCAGTGAACAAACATTCAAGCAGTGTTAAGCAGTGTTTACGTTTATGAACAATTTAACTTCCAGCATCACCAAACTATATTATTACGAACACGTTTAGCCCCGTCCACATACATGCTCCAACTTATCGTCAGTCTTGCATGACATGCCAGGTTTGACAAGACGGAGCGTGTGGACGCTCAAAGTTTGACGTCTTGCATTACGGGTGAGCGGAGTTTGAGGTTTGACAAACCTGGAAAAGACGGACGGGCAAGACCTTTGGGTTCATGCAAGACTGACGATAAGTTTGAGTGTGTGGACGGGGCTTCACTCACGTTCGCACACACAGCGCACATTCGTGATTTCTGCCACCTTCGTTGTTTCTGCATATTGTTTAAGCGTTTGAGGTAAGGCTTGAGTGATATTACAATGTTCAAATTATGGGCTGCTTGTAATAAACTATTGCTTCTATTATATATTATCATACAAAATTATTGATATTGATATATGATAAGATCGATATGATATTAATTTGACATACGATATATGATGAGATAAATTTGATATCTTAGCATAGATATCAATATCATATATATCTTATCATACTATGA